ACTACTTTTGTTGCATTTCTAAAGCCCTAATCTAATCCCATTATAGCTAATATATCATTGTCTGCACGTTCTTTAATTGTCATGGATCCTAATATTATATCGCAGTTAACCATTATTCTTATGAGCGTGCACTGAAAATATTTTGTGCATCAAGATAAAAATTACACACGCTTAAATCTGATTTAAATCATGATTTAAATCATTTTGCGATTTTATGTAATTTTCGTCCAAGATTCACCATGCACAAAATATTTAAGTCGACATTATTCTAAATTACACCTGAACAAATAGTTGTTTTTGTCTTTTGTTATAATTGTTTCCTTCACAAACTACTTAAATTTGACTTGAACTTCTAGCCAAAGTATAAAATGAGACTCAAACGCCTGAATAAAAAATCTGAAAAATTGTTAAAAGTTAGTCTTTAATTACTATTAAAAATTGGTTCATTAACTGTTATTATAAAATGCCATGTCTTAATAAAAGAAAACAGCAAATCAGTGCATTAACCAGAAAACAAGGTTGTTATACATCACAAGAAATTATGCAAGAAGCAAAAATGATGAATGAAGAAATACTACAATTGGAAGTAGTGGAAGATGAAGTTATACAAGAAACCCCTATAATACAGAAAGAGATTGCTGAATTAAAACGTAAGAGATCTTTATATACTGGAACGTCAAGAACAACAGCTTGGAGAAAAAAACAAAAAGCTAATACATCATTAAACGTGAAAGCATCACCTGATTTGTCGCACCTGTTTCCAGCTGTTGATACTATGAAATGACTACAATTATTACAACCACCTTCAGCAACACTGTTAGCCAATGCTTTATCATTAGTATCACGATCATCTTCATCAAAACTGTGTATTGAAATTATAAAACAAACGTCTTCTCAGGTGGCTACATATAATTCACTATCTATTAATAAAGAAAAATTAGAAATACGTTTAAATGAAGTTAGTCAAAAATGCACAATAATAAAATCTTCAAAAACCAACATACCTATATATGATCATTTGCGTCTTCTAAGCATAAATAGATACATAAAATTGTTGCTAGATGGGCAAGGCAAGATGAATGCAAGCATTTATCTTGCACGAACTAGTTGGAGTAAAGAAGACAATATGGC